TGCCTGATGAATATATTGCTCAGCTTGTTCCCAGTCTGCCTGAGCTTTAAGGTGGACTGTTGATGATGCAGCTTCACCTCAATGTTTTATCACTTAAAAATTTATCTTGGAACCTCTTTTTAAATTTTCTGGGGTAATGAGCATGCTGGTGTTAAATTTGCCACTTGAGATCCTTTGCAGATGGCCTTAGCCTCTTTTATTTTATTTTTTTTTAAGATTTATTTATTTATGCATACAGAACTGGGGTACAAGCCAGAGGTGCAGGGTTGATGAGAGGATTCACCAGAGACAGAGTGGGGAGCAGAACAGGTAGATCAATGAAGCACAGTGCTGCGGGGAGCCGCAGTGGTCACCCCCGGGGCAGGCGGGCATCAAACCCATGCTGAAGTGGCTTTAGCTTCTTAGTGCTGTGCTTTAATCCGCTGCACCACCAGGGAGGGCCCTTAGCCTCATTTTTAACCAGATCCGTTATGTAACAACCCAAGAGTCTTCAGACGGCTAGCTCTTCAGCCTTTAAACAACGGAGTAGATATACTGGGGTCAGTGTCAGAGAGTGGGACAAAGACCAGGATTACCTCTTCACATGCAAGTAGTGTTAGCAGCTCTGTCTGAACATTGGATTGCCTGCGGGGAACTTCTAAAACTCTTGCCATTTAGGGCACATCCCAAACCAGTTATATCTCTAGGGGACATAACATGGTTGCAGAGGTTGGGAATCACAAGCTAGAGGCAGATAGCTGCACCAGGGGAACAAGCACTGTTGTTTGTTTCTTCTGCTTCCTCCAATGCTGAGTCTCCAGCCTAAATCTATAGACCACCTTCTGGTCTCTCAGTCTTGGTTCACTCCTGGGAGCCCTCCCTTGGACACCCTCTTGTTATCTCTTATTTACTGCAACCCATTATCATCCTTTGGACCTCATCTTTTCCCCAGATTCCCACATAGACCTTCCAATTTACAGTGCTTTGTGTGAATTTTCATAATTTAAAAACTGTACCACTTATATAGCAGATAACATGCCATTCTTTGTTTTTCTTTGACTTTCTTAACAACATGTATTATTATAACATCCTGGTCTGTGATCCCCTTGAAAGACCTACAAGTTCATATTAAATTATTTTGGGGAGTTATGGCTAACAGTTTTCTTATTTAAATCTAACTTTTTACTTTTTTTTTTAACTCAAAATATGTTTCCTCTTAGTGTTTTTTTTTTTTAAAGATTTATTTATTTATTCATACAGAACTGGGGCACAGGCCAGAGATGCGGAGGGTGAGAGGATTCACCAGAGACAGAGTGGGGAGCAGAGCAGGCAGATCGACGAAGTACACTGCTGAGGGGAGCAGCGGGCGGGTCAGGAGAAGTCTGCCACGCCATGTGGATCTCTTCTGGGGCAGGTGGAATCGAACTCATGCGGAAGTGGCTTTAGCTTCTTAGTGCTGTGCTTTAACCTGCTGTGCCACCCGGGAGGGCCTCCTCTTAGTGGTTTTTTAATTTTGAATTCCTTTGAAAAATTCAGTACAAGCTGTAGAGCTTCTCCCCAGAAAAGGGTTTAAACACATACTCCATTCCACATATGGTCTGTGGGTTCTTTCCATGGACATGTCTTATCTCTTTGTTCTCAGATGCAAAAGGCATCTCAGGAAAGGAATTTTAAAATGGAGAAGTGGAGAGAAGAAAGGCAATTTGGAAAAGATCTTTTCTTAAGAGCCACTCCTAAAACACAGTTTTAGAAGTGTGTGTGTGGGGTCCTCTCACAGGAGGAGGGTGGTATTTGGTCTGAGCTGAGGAGGCTAGGTGCCAGCATTGCTTCCTTCCCTTATCTTATCTGGGGCAGTATTCGATGGACAGATGCTTTTGGCAAAGCAGGCAGAGCTAATAGCTTCACTGACCACCAGATGTCACTACAGCACCAATTAGTATGTCTGAAACCAGTGTGAACTAGCAACAAAGCTGTAGTGACTGCCTGACAGGGACCTTATAAAACCAAATGTCACAGGATTTGTTTATGTCATTAAAAATAAAATTAAATTATGAGAAAGGCCAAAGGCCAGATAAAGGTATATTCGTGATAAGGAAATGGAAAAGGAAAGGAAGTGAGCAGGATAGGGCAAGTGGAGAGGTGGCGGAGCAGTAATTTCCTCTAGAAAGGACACTTTCTTGGAAATAGATTTTTCTGTTGTGGGAGCAAGTTAATATTATTATGTAACTCACTTCACTGAGACTCCAGAATCCATTTTGAAGTAATTGTGACTGTCCATTCAGTAAGATTTTGGATGTGTGTTTAATGTAAGGGTGTTTTTTTTTTTTAAGATTTATTTATTTATGACCACAAGTACTGGGGTACAGGTTGGAGGTATAATGAGGTGGGGTGAGAGAATTCACCAGACAGAGTGGGGAGCTGAACAGGCAGATCCACTGTAGTACATTGCTGAGGGGAGCAGTGGGCGGGACAGGCGAGGCCTGCTGTGCCATGTGGGTTGGCTCCTTGGCTCCCTGGCTGGAGACTGGGGATCAAACTCATGCTGCAGTGGCTGCCTATAGCTTCATAGTGCTGTGCTTCAACTTTGCACCAACAGGGAGGGACCAGGGTATTTTGCTTATTGAGGCATATTTTCATTATTATTATTATTATTTTTATTATATATATTTTGGTTATATAGCCTAGTCTATTACCATAGCAGTTTTTCTTTTTCAATTACCCACTTTCTTTCTTTGTTTTTTTTTTGTATCTTTAAAAAATTTTCTTATGGGGCCTCCCTGGTGGCTCATGGGTTTAAGTCTCAGTACTATGAAGCTAACTGCAGCTACTGCAGCATGAGTTAGAACCCCAGGCAGAGAGCTGTCCTCCACCTGCTCCCCTCAGCAGAGTGTTTCAGTCAATCTGTCTGTTCTGCTCCCCCTTCTGTCCCTGTGAATCTGCTCACCACCACCCCATACCCCATAACCCTGTACCCCAGCTCTTGTATGCATAAATAAATCTTTAAAAATTATTTTTCTTACATCCTTGTACATTTATGTTCAGTATTTGGTTTGTTCTCTCAGGGCTTGTCCCCTTAATTCTCCTACTACGACCACAGCACCTATGAATTATGACCATTGTTCTTTGTATGCTTCTTTCCCCTGTTTTGACCCCTCTCCCTCCTCTGCTGTATACCTCAGATCTGTGGTTTGCTGCAAGTTTTATCTTTTCCTGACCCTTTGTTCAGTTTCCTTATATTATACCCATAAGTGAAGCCATCCAACATTTTTCTTTCCTTCTGACTTGTTTTGCTTACCATAATCCCTTCCAGCTCCATCCAAGCCATATCTTTTACAAGTGCCTTTATTTTGGCAGGAAAGTGTATATCATAAACCCTTCTCCATTGATTTTAAAAAAACAATTAGTGGTACCTCACCCCAGTGAGAATGGCACATCTTCAAACAACTAGCAACAACAAATGTTGGCGAGGATGTGGAGAAAAAGGAACTCTCCTGCACTGCTGGTGG